GTCCAGATCCCTCTGCAAAGCCTTCCTAGAGGGTTAATACCTTGGTGTCCATAAAGCATTCTCACCATCCCTCTCTCCCTTTTGGGCAACTCTTCCACGCCTCACCTTATGACCAACCAGCATCTCCCAGGTAAAACTTCTCCTGGTCTAGTCTTTTCCTCACCTGTTCTCAATACTGTCTCTGGAGCCTGCTTTTCTTGCCATTTGCTAACTCCATTGACCTGTTGGGTTTTTTTATCCCACATCAGTCTGCTTGCTTCATTCCTCTACATTCTGGTCTTCAGAAACATCCCTCCCACTTCATATGTTCTTGTATCCACTAAACTAACCAAATGCTGTCTCAGCCCCGTTTCTGTATCCAAATGAAACCTCCACTGTCAAGCTTTCACATCCTGATACAAATCTCTTGCTGCCTCAGCTGGACGGCTCTCCTCATCTGCGCACTTATCTGGCAAAAACATAACCTCTGCAAAACACCTCTACTCAGCAGAGACAGTATCTTCCCATTAAAAACCTCGTGAACAGAAACTGATTTCAGCCTCCTCCATAATAACACTGTTCTCTTATTTCTCTCCCTGCATATTTACCCAGTGTTTGATCCCAAATTATCTTTGGAATCTCCCTCTCCCAGACCAGAAGCCTTTTTCTTCCACTGCACTGTGAAAACAAGAGCTATAAAAATACTTTGTGGCTCCATTACAAGTAAATATATTGTCGTCTGGCTTTGACATCCCAGCACACAGTACTACTAAGAGAAAACAGCATCACTTCATTTCTTGGGCTCTTCAAAGCAGGGGTATTATTCTGACAGTTAATTTTGTACTACATTCAGTACAGATTATTTCACTCCATACAAGTTGATATACACTTTCGGAACACACTGAAATTCCTCCTGTGTTGTTGTTAGGCTCTGAAACGTCTTTCCATAGATGCCAAATACCAGTCTTCCCTTTCACCTATTTTCCCTAAAGACGCACTTTACACATACTTTCAAAAATCGACAGTCAAGAGCACTGTACCAAAAATTTGCATATAACAGGCAAAGGAATGATCACGACCCTGAAAGAAGGGACAGTGAACAGTACATAAACCTGTACAAATCTTTTATCTCATTTAATTATTTGGCCCTTACTAACTTTCTTCTTTTACAGACTCAATAGTTCAGCTCAAAAAGAACAGCACAAAAGGTCTCTAGCAGAAATTACTAGTATCTCCAAAGCATTAAATCCTGACATAACTATTCATTAGATGCCAGTCAGACTTAGTTGAAAAAACCAAAACAACTTTAATTCCTATTTTAAAATAATATATATATACGAGATATGAACAATGTAATCGAATTAGTACCAACAGCTACTTCAACCTACACTACCTCATACAAGGAGAGGGTGAGAGAGCTGGGAGAGTTCAGACTCAAGAAACAAACTCCGGAGGATTTTATCGTTTGTATAAACACCTGATGAAAAGGTATAAAGTATACAGAGCCAGACTCTTCTCAGTGATATCCAGAGAATGGACAAGAGGCGATAAGCACAAACTGAAATACTTGGAAAGTCCATTTAAACTCAAGAAAAAGCTTTTTTACTATGATAGTTATCAAACACTTAACTGGCTGCCCAGAGCAGCTGTGGAGTCTCCATCCTTGGAGACATTCAAAACCTAACTGGACACAGTCCTGAGCAGCCTTCTCCAGTTGACTGTGCAGGGAATTTGGACTAGACAATCTTCAGAGGTCACTTTCAACATCAACATTCTATGATTTTACCTAAAAAACCCAACTGTACTGAAACTATGTTTCTCTACAGGGATTCCAATAGTCTTACCTGCAAGTTAACTGCATCTTGATAAGTCAGCTTCACTGCAGCTGGGATCTGGGAGTATACTAAATGATTGTACTTGGGAATCAGACCCATCAGGTCAGATATCTGCCGTATCACAATACTGTATGCTCTTGCTAAACTGCTTGCAGATGTTAAATAGCTGCTTGCATTGCTGGCTTCAAGTGCTGCGGCTGCTGCAGCAGCACTCGTACTGATGGTACCACTCCGACGCAGGTTTGATGGATCAATGTAAATTGCTGAACTTGCTAAACAGAAAAGAAAGTATGACATTAATGAATTTATTTAACCTTTGCTACATCTTTTCTGTATTGATGGATATCATGAACATTTCTAGAAATAAACTTGTAAATATTACTGACACCACAACTGGAACTAGCAAAAACTTATTAGCTACAGTAAGCATACTCGTATCTTCTTAAGAACTAGAACAGATCCTCTTTTTAAATTCAAAACCAGAACTGGAACAGTCAAGATAGGTCAGCACTGTCCTTCTAAGACAAACAGATAACATTTCATCCTCAAGAGAACAAACAAAATCAGAGGAAGGAACAAAGCCAGAGATAACTGACATTCACACATGCATTTTACTCCAGACTTGCCTGCTGGGGCTGACGTACTAGAAGGAGCAGTGCTAGCAGTTCTCTGGTTTTGGGTACTACGTACAGCCCACTGCATGGAACGGGGAGCTTGGGCAGCACCATTGGCATGTGAGCTGTTTGTGGTTCGTTCCAGAGGCTCATCAAGCATGAAAGTCTCCTGCTCTATGTCATCGCTCTGACTGCTGCTGCTATCAGAGTCACTGGAATCATTTGATTGAGAGTCATCTTCAGAAAAAAATGCTGGAACACTGCTAGCTCCTATTAAGGAAAATAAGCAAAAAAAAGTAATAGACAATTGCACTTGTGTGCACATATATCTGTATCATGTCAGCGTTGTAAACTTTTTCCATAAGAAACTACATGTACTAAAGAGGGTCAAGTACCACTACTGAAAATCTTGAATAAATTGCCCTTATAACATACTGCTAATTTTCCATAGGTTTTATGAAAAAAGCAGTAAGATGACTTACATTTCAAAAGATAAATTGAGAAATTAATTTGATTTAAAAATTCTTCACTGATTCTGCCCCCAGGCAATGAATTTTAAAAACTATGCTTCCAAACTGGAGAGCAGAACCATTGCTTTCAAAAAGCCTTAAAATGATGGTCAGGATTTGTGGGGTTTTTTAAACCACATCTAACTTCTACACTAAAAATCAGTGAAAACACTTAATTTTACTTCACAAGAGTGCTATGTAATCTATGGCTAACAGAAGCAGAAGCTCCAAAAGAGCAAAAGAGATAGGCCACATCTTAGGGCATCTCCTTGTCCAAAAAGTCTGCATAGTACCTTACAGGCAAAGGAAAAACATGACATGTGGGGAAAGCAGAGGTGAGAGGAAAGAAGCTGGGTGAAGAGAAAAAAATAAAAGTAAGATTACAAGGGAAAGGTATATGTTAAAGTGTCATAAACATGTAATTCTCACTCTGTCCAATCTATTTGTGAAGTAGTTTCTCCAGTGTACCTCTGGAGAGCTGGATGCAGTCCAGATCCAAAAGCAAAGAGTAAGATTTTTCAGGTGAAGCCAGTTCTGCCCTTGTTAAAGCTATACTCAGTCAAAGCAATTCTTTTTCTTGTACAGCTTAATCCTAATACCTAAATTTAACAGCTAGATTAAACACAAGATGATGTGGCGTACCTGCTTCTGACCCAGCAGTAGCTGCAGTGACAACACTTCTGCGCCCACTAGCATTGTCCTGATTACTGTGGTTACTCTCACTGTCACTTTCTGTTTCAGCAGCAGCTAGCAAATCTAACTCCATATCGCTGCCTACAAAAACAACATAAAAAACATCTCATGTTTAGAAAGAGGAAAAAAAAAATAGAATGACTGTCATGACTCTCATAAGACACATTAAACAAAACCCAGAGCCTCTTACTACAGCAGAAGTTAATGGATATGCAGGGAGAGGTCGTAAAAGCAGTACAAACATGCAGCAACGCTTGGAGCATATTTTCTTATTTTCCAGCTATTAGCAACCCCTGGCCCTGTCTCTCTGTACTGCACATATACTTTCAACACACACACACTGAAAAATAAAATTAAAATCCTTAAAATTAAGACTTCAGAACTAGTCACTCAAGTGAAAAGACTCCACCACTCTTCATGTACATGTATTAGGACAATCAACCATATGCTGGTTCAAACAAGTATCTAAGGAATACCTGAAAACTTAAAAAAAAAAGACACCAACAAAACCCACCAAACAAACAAAACCCCAACCAAACAACCCCAAAAAAAACCCCAACCAACCCACCCCCCCCCCCCGCCCAAAGCCCCAAATTCTATTGAAGTTTAAGTTTTGAGAATTAAATGTTCTGAATACTCAGCAAGTGAATAAACAGATCTCCTGTACTGTAAATGGGCTGACCAGAAACACAAGGCAGTCAGTCACCCAAGCAGTAATGCACATGATGTACATTACACGTACCATCTTCATCATGCTCATCATGTTGACCTTCTGCTTCAGCATTTTCTTCACCATGTTCTTCCTGTTCATCATGATGGTCTTCTTCACCAGCTACCCCCTCAACCACCTCAACCTGGAACAAGCATTATCATTTTATGCTAGAATATCCTCCACGCCAGAGATAATCTACATATTTTCAAAAGCTCAGTGCAAAATTTGATTTTAAAAACTAAGAACAAAAAAACACATCTATGAAAAGATGACCTTACAACCGAATTGACACAAGGAGAAAATTAACCTACAGCCACCATAATTGTACATGGACGTATGGTCCACAGTGTTGTGGGAAAAAAAATCAGGCCCACAAATAAAACACAGCCCTGGACATTAGATTTCAATGCTGAAAGGGTAAAACTGACTATAAAACCTAGAATTAGTTGCTAAATATTGAAGAGCTACCATCCTGGTAAAAGACCCTCTAGTTCTCTAAGAGAGCCCACATAATAGCACCCATATGCTGAAAGACTTTAGAAGTGTTTTAACAGGGAGTTATAGTATAGCATAAGATTCTATAGAAAGAAAATTACAGATGCATTTATTAGTATTCTAAATCATACCATAATTCTGTCAAATGCAAGACACTTAGCATACTCTGAAATGACTATTGCTGAATACAAAACAACAATTACAAAACTCTTAAAACAAAATGCTTATGGCACAGTAGGAGTTAATGAAGTACTACTCAGTATCTTTTGCAAATGATGTCTTCATGCATGGATTTCTGATTCAGACATTAAAGCATGTGCCATACTGAGAAGAAAACAACAACAACAAAAAAAAAAAAAAACAACAAAAAAAACCACCAAACCCTGACCTCTTCCACATCCGCTGAAACGATATCATCTTGTTCTTCATCCCTTCCACGAACTGGCTGGGACTGGCTGATTCGTCTTTGCTGAGGATTCCGTATGATGTAGGATGACTGAGATTGACTAGAACTTTAAAAAAAAAAAAAAAAAAAAAAGTAGATTTGAACCTTTGGACATCACTGAACCTAAATTATTGTAGAAATCTGCAGTAGGAAATTACTTCCAAAATGCTTGGCCACAGTAGGAAGCCTCACTGTATTTTTGTTAATGAAAAGCCAACAAAAACCCCAAACAAAACCACCTCTAACAAGTCTTTGAAAAGAACAAATAGTGAGCTTTAGCAAGTTTTACCTGCTAGACTGGTCAGATGATGGTCTGGGTGGCAGAGGCTCCACAGAAAACAGTTCTTCGCTTCCCTGCATGGCATCTATACTAGTGCTAGCAAGAGTAAAGGGTGCCGTAGGACGTGCAATTCCCATCCTGACTGGAATAATGAGAGATTCTGCTACATTGCACAACTCTTCAACAGCATAGGGCAATAATGCCTGGAATACACGTTTACATTTTCCAATTGGCTGTGGAATAAAATTGCTAGGGGAAAAAAAATATGGAAATATAAAAGGTCAAATGTGTCTTTTTTAAAAAAATAAAATCATGGCAGTATCATTTTTTTGTTTCAAAATGTCAAGACAATTATCTTTAACAGATACACACACTTGTATGTGTATAGTAACAATATGCACAGCTATTCAAGTCAGTTAAAAACATTTATCGTTCAATAACTCGAGACTAAGGCTGGGTATCTAAACCTATTACTAACAAACAACCATAGATTGCAATTTTGATTAACATGTTAAAAACCCCTACTTTCAAAAATACTAGAATTTTAAACAGAAAGTTTCAGTATGACCACAAGTTCAACAAGCATTGTATTAAAAAGCTACACAACATACCAGCAGCTACTGTGCAGTCTTGAGGTTTCTACCTTTCCACACAGACCGCAAATTAATTCAGATGTTTCTGCCTACTGTTGATTTATACCAACTCATTTATGAAGAGAAGAAATATTTAAATTAAAAAAACCCAAAAATACCACAACCAACACACACACACCCCCCACCACTTACTTTTTCTTTTTGGAGGAAGCCATTTCTACACTAAGAATGACAAACACTCTTGCCACAGAACGCAGGAATCTCATTGTAACAGCAATAGCTTCTTCTCTGCGTCCTGGTGTATACTTGTTTTGTAATTCCTTTACCAGAGTACCCAGCAAAGTATCTAAGAGCTGTAGAAACAGGTCATTACAACCCAATAATGGTGTGTAATTTAGAAGCATGAAACAAAACAGATTGAAAGGGAGACCGCAGTCATAACAGTATAAATTCACAAAAGCATAACTAACGTGAAGTTATTTTCAAATTAGCCTCCAAGTGCATTACCTGTGATACACTATAATATCACATTATTCAGAAAATCTACGTAAAGCATGACTAAGTGTACTTACCAAAATGTCGGCTGTGCACTTGACAATAAGGCAGTGTGTAAAACAGTCCAAGCGAATAGTTCCACTTTGCTGATTAAGGTAAACTTGCTCTTCAGGCAGAAGGTGACCTATCCTACTGCTTGCACTAAGACTTGGAAAAAACAAAAAGAAAGGAAATAAATTTTATATAAGTCAGTAGGTCTCCAGTATCAGATCAAACTTTACATTGACAATTATTTGTAAATACACACGGGTCTTTGTTTTCCTGGGAGCCAAACATGATCATGGACTTCAGTGCATTCCAGTCTTGCAAAACACGTTCCAAAGCAAGCTGGGCAAAGCGAGGAGGTTCTAAATCATGATCAGGCATATCAGAATCTAAAAAGACAAAAAAGCAACATAAGAAAGAGGTAGTGAAGTATGGAATTTGACATTTATTTCACTGAAACAGTTCTTACCTTCAGGATTTGCAGTTTTACGATTACGATCTTCCCTAATTCTAGGTGGTCTGTACTGGCAGTGTTCCACAGTTTGCCTAGCAACTGTCTGTACCAAAAACAGCAGAAGATGTTCTCCCCTGTGATGAAAAATTGATTAGTGGAGATAAGACACACCACATTTAAAAAGAATAAAAAATTATTCTGTCATAGACATTGCAAATACAAACTTGCCTGCTATTTGGCATGGTAACAAGATTTGTGGTGGTAAGCAGGCGGTAAAGGAGATCCAGACGAGCAGACTTTTGTCCAGCAATTAGTGTTTTACACTTGCACTTTTCCCAGCAATCACAGTAGGCTGTTGGAGATGTTCGTTTGAGCCTACGAGAAATACCAAAGATGAGCTGCAAAACTGTTCAGCAATATAGCAAATATTTTCTACACAGGCTGAGGGTGTTAGTGTACACATTAAGACTCCTGCTAGAGTTTTTTGTTTATTGTACTAGCAAGATGCCAAAATGTAGCTTAGAAGAGAAATGGAGAGTTTATATGTGGCAACACTTGGGATTCCCTACACTCATTTAGGAGGGCAGTTTCACTACAGAGCTCTTCACAGTGCTTTAGTAAAACCAAGACCAGGTATTCTTCCCCAAAATAGCCTCCAGGCAAGAAAGTAAAGTTGGAAATCCTCACGACATGCAGCAAAATCTCAGTAATTGTTACAATGCTGAAAATTTCTTTGTAATTGTATCTGTTAGGTTATTATGGGTAGGATATGAATGCTGTAGCATTTACACTCTTTAACAGTGGAATAAAACATCTGCAGCATCAAAGCTTTGGCCAGGTTGAGCAGAGACATCTTTGACTCTTCATTTGCCTGCTTCCTCACTTTTCCCTTTATTACAGTTGATCTTAGATATTAATATACTACAATTGTTTCTGAAAGTTTACACGAATGATCTATCAGGATTCACTGGCTTCAGAAAACTCCTGGAGGCTCTCAAAATGAAAATATGGTATCATTTAGATATATTATTCAGATATATTATTCTTAGTATATTAAGCACTTTGAGAGTGTCAGACTTACTCATTTACTTTAAATTCTACAAAGTGAAAAGTACAAGACTGCTTCAGGGTACTCTTTCAATTCAGACTCATAAAATAAATCTTACAGAGCAGAAGGAAAAAAAGATGTCTGAACACCTTAACCAAGGGAAAAAACCTACTAACTATCAGTAAACAAATGAAACCACAAAAATATTGATTTAACCATAAGAAACAGAACACAATACTTACTTGCAGTCATGTCCTTTGTGACAGACCCTTGCACATTCCGTGCAACAACAAAGAGATTCCAACAGGCCACATGTTCGGCATTCAAATATATCCTAAAAAAAAATATTACCAAAAATATTACACATAGGTTTCTCCCTACAGCACTTGCAATCTCACAGCATTTCAGGTTACAAAAAAATTGCACTTGTTCAAACTGATGCCTTCACTTACAAGTAAGTCAATTCTAGAAAGTGACGCTTTGTTGCTAGTCAGAATATTCAGTGTTTTCAAAGAGCTGTTTCCACAAAGATTTTTGCCAAAGCTAGCCAGAGGGGAAAAACCACACCCATAAACAGCCCTATACTGAGCAACACAGCCAGCTTTAAGAATACAAAGCAACTAGGGGAGGCAATAACTATACCAGACTTAAAAGTTACAGTAATTAAAACAATGCAACTTTAATAAAATAAATAGACTAACAGATTAGTAGGCTAACACAACACATTGTCGAAACATGTCCCTACTTACTCAAAAAGGAAAAAAAAAGCCTTACTTGGTTAATATGTTCTGCACCAGTCCATGTGAAACTGCATGTATCATTACAACACAAAACATACAAAGGAGAGTCATCTGGATTTGTACCAGAAGGACAAACCATTCCCATAAACACATCATCTTCTTTTTCACTTGAAGTTGCTTCAGCTGAAAGAACAATACCAGCATTAAAAGCAACCCCTCAAAAATAAAAACCACCAACAGACCCATACTTGACACGATGTTTGCCATTACAAAATCCCATAGAGAATGAAAAGCTTTAATAAAATCTCTGTCACAGTTTTTTGAGAAAGCTTGTCACATGACAGGTATTTCTTATAGAAGCTGCTGCAAAATCCAGACTGAAAAATACAACCACTAACTCTTCCCCAGTTTTAAATTCCCGGATATTCTAATCAATTCAGTGGATCACTATTTTGAAGGATGAAAAAATAATTCATGGGCAATATTCTTACAAGGAATACACTCAGTCTTCTAGACTCATCACACCACAGTTCTAAGCTACTTAAATTTCTCTTTAAGTTCAACTTCACATATTTCTCCTAAATAATTAAACACCAATATCAAAAGAGAGTCACAAGACATGTATTTGTATAGAAGTCTTTTCAAGAACAGGATCTAGCTTAGTGTACTGCTTTATCCTATCTTCTTTTTCCAATTCAAAGAAAGAAGTCCCAGGTGATAACTTTGTGCTACTGAAAAACGGTACCTTAATCCACTGCTGTTTGTAAAGCAATGAAATGCTGAAAAGACTATAAAGTAAACAAAAGCAAAAATATTCATAGGAATCTATCGTAATATACACACTACAGAAGAGGAAGATTCTCCATAATAGCAAGATTTCCAAAACATGCAGCAATATACGATGTTTTGGAAAGAGGTGTTTACCACCATCACCAGTTGATCAAGCACATATAATGTCACACACACACAAAAAAGCACTGTTAATAATGAATCTGCACACATGCCAAACTTTAAAAGGAAGCCACACGCTAATAATTACTCAAACTGGTGTACCTTTAGCAATTTTCTGTGCAGTTTCTAGAATTGTAATTGCAGCAGGATATGCCCGGCCACTAACTGCCGACATAAATGGTGTCATGCCTCTTGCATCCCTACAGAAAAAAAAAAAAAACAACAAATAAGTTAAAACACACAAATTTTTTGTCATAACAGGAGAGGTAGAAAACAAATACATGAAAATAAACAGAAAAACCACAGAATGAATAAGCACATTTTTATTCGTTTTACTTCTGTGAAACAGACCCAACTTTAAGGCATGGCAGGACACAAACGCAGCCAATATTCTAGCACTCCCCATTTTAGCTTATGTGCCTTTAAATAACCTCTTTTAAAAGGCTTCTATGTAATAAATTTCAGGTGATAAAACATGATAAAGGATAGTGAGAATTCATATGAAAATCCTTACTTGGCTGATAGTAATTCCCGAAGATAAGGTTGTAAAACAACACTATCACACAGTAATTTCAGTATGAAGTGAGCGTTTGCCTTCCGATCCTTTGATTCCACGACAGATGGTTCAGAAGAAGGACCTGGAATGAGAAACAAAAATTGCAGAGAAACAGTTTTTCCTCAAAAACTGACTACCTATTAAAAGCAAATAGTTCAATGTTTCACTGGGGTAATTAATCAATAGCTTGAATATTCAGTGGTTTGCCAGCTTCAGCAACGTTTCACTGAAGTACTACAAATTTCAGTTCCAAATTACATTCTGAAATACAGATAGTAATCCCAATTTCATACTGATTACCATATTTTTACATATTTTTCATTCCCCAGGTAAAAATAGTTTTTACATAAAACACAGCACGGGGCTTCCATGTACTTTCTGCACACTTGTGAAATCCTGCTTCAATCCACTCTTCATCTGCTAAGAGGCATTTTCATACGCAGGAAGTCTGTGCAAGCAAAGACAGCTTTTGAGATCATTTTTCCTTCTAAAGCATAATCAGATAAGCAGCATGTCCTCACCTGGTATTGTGGAGGTGCTAGGTCCTTGGCTGGTGCCAGTCGCTGCTGTGGTAAGAGATCCCACAGCGGGGGCCAGGATAAAATCAATGTCACCATCTTTCAGTAAACAGAATAGCAGGATGTATATCAATACATAAAAACATCCCTAACAACATGCTCTTTCTGCAATGTCTAGCACACTGCAGGTTTTCTATATTTAATTGGTACTCTTTCCTACCAACAGCCACGCTCTTAGATTAGTAATGTAACTCCACATTACAAAATGCACTTCACAGAAGCTTGACACCAGTGTTAGAAAGACACATACTGGAATTAAAAACAGCTTTTAGGTCTTCAGTAAAGTCATGAAGCACGGCTTGCTGCCTCAATGACATTAGGCATTTTAGTCTCATGACAAAATTTAAGTGATTCACCTTATAAGCCACCGGTTCCTTTATTAAATCTCTCATTCTACAGACTAATGCGAGCATGAACAGACTTACCTGGGTCCATTGCAGGAGGATCTGGAACCCAGCTGGGAGGAGCTATTGGTGGAGAAACCGGGTCCTGATGATCACTTGATGAAGCACCAGCTTCATGTCTGCCCAATCCAGCAGCTCTCAAGGATCTTCTCATCATTTCTCTTAATCTCAAACTGAATACAAAACCAAGGTAAAGACACTATCTCATTTTCATTGATAATTAGAACATTTTAAAGCAGGATTCCACACTGAAAAAGACGAAACCAAACTCTTCTTATGTCCATTTTTCTTCAGCATAGGGAAGAATGAGCAAAGAGGTATTTTCCCTTCCTGTATTCCATTTTGTTGCAGCAGAATATAATGGCCTTGGAGGAAGAGTCAGCCAGCAATATATCAAGACAGATTCAAGCCCAGAACGCATCCCTAGTCACCACAGCACTGCCTCTTGCAGGGGGCAGCAGCTGATGGGCGTTATTACCACTACTTGACATTCCTTTTACCCCAAACTCATTGCCAGGCGTGTTAAGCTTGTGCGGGGATTTGCTCTTGTTGCTGCTGTTTTTTACAATCTTAACTGCAAGAAGAGGTTAATGAAAGAATAAAAATGGGTCTTGAAAAAAAAAATTTGAAAGGAGTTACTTGTTTAAAATTATTTAACACGAAGCTACTACTTTACTGAAGACAGTGAGTAAATAATGTGAAGAAGTTACCCATCATCTTCCTAGAGGGAAAAGTGGCAGGAATAAGGGTAGAAACCACACAATCCAGTGTGATGCAAAGAGGTACAAACATAAATTTGTTTGTTTGGGGTTTTGGGGGGTTTTTTGTTGTTGTTTGTTTTTTTTTTTAAATGAACCTCCTCGTAAGAGTAAAGTCTCCTACAGAATGTGGGAGGGAAGCTTCAACCCTTACCCTTATCTCCCATATCAAAAAGGTCACAGTGATGAGGACTGTAGCTTGGGAAGGATAAAAACACCACTTCATGTTAATAGCTTTGACTACAGAGCTAAATAAAAAAATTATACTCTGCCCTCATCCGCAGTGCTCTGAACTGCCCAGAACTCAGTACAGATACCTTCAAATTTCCTGGACGCGAGCACCACTCAGTTACCATCATGGAAAGAACCTCATAAATGTCATCAGAAATTAGGATTGTGTCAGGGACAAAAAGCTATCCATCAGAGCCACCTCGATACAAAAGATTCCCACTATAACAATGATTGCTCAGGATAAAAATGAATCAACTCCAGTTCTTCCCCACTGGTGTTATGTTTATCTCAGTACTATTTATCTGTGTAAGTGACCACCTCCCACTGGAATTCTCTTAAAAGAACAAGCCTGGCTGCTAGCACAGTATTTCTGTGATACTTAATTCTCCTTGGTAAAGAACACAAGAGCTTATCCTCAAATTCCCTTTCCTCACAAGGAGGAGCATTTCCACTTTGCAACTGAGGGGACCATGCCCCAACCCCAGAAAACAGAATTAGCTCTCACATCAGAAAAGGCTTCAAAAAAAACCAACCACTAGAGGTCTAGTTTGGTGCTTGAAGAAGGGAAATCTGACTTTAAACCGGCAATAGAGCTGATTCTTAAACTAGACTGAAGGAAATAATTAATAAAAGACTGGTAATTAACACTGAAATTAGCATACAGAAAGCAAGAAGAAACCGTTAGTCAGTTTACCTTCTGCTGCTTGATGATCCTGCCCGATTTCCTGGACCATTACTTGACACAACGGAGATTGCATTTGCAATAGCTTCCACAGCCGAGAGCCTTTCAGCAAATGTATTCCTCTCAGAGCGCTCTGCCTCTGAAAAATTAAGAAAAGTATTAGTGCCAACATTTCACTTGGGAAGATTATTAAGGAAGGAGTATAAATTATAAAATGTCACTAATCATAAAATGTTCCCTGCAAGTTTTTTTTTTTTTTAAGATTTAGAGGGACAGAGTAGGTTCATATACAAATTTTTATTTTGGACAAGCTTAACTATGATTCTGAGTGGGTTGGGTTTTAAAAGGCTGACCAGGAAGGAAATTCAAAGAGCCCTATTTCCAGAACAAGCTTTCAGTTTTCAGTATCATCAAGAGACAAGGACCTGTCACATAGCTGATTCCAGATACTTGCTGAGTCAAGGCTTCAAGTCATGTCAACCAAAAAAACCCCAGAGCACCACAAAAAAAACCCAAACAACAAAACAACACCAAAACAAAATGCCACACGTCTCAATGAGCAGCTATGAACAACAATGCCAAGCTGTGGGCTTGTAAGATACACACTCTACTTATGAGCATACTTAGGAAAACTGTGTTATAACAAGCTAGCACAATCAGTTTACATCAGAAAGAGTAAGCATTTCTTCTAACATCTAAAACTGTAAGCACCATAACACCTAAAGGTCCTAAATTATAACAAGGACCGAATTGTGCCAAGTGCTATACAGAGCATAAAAAAAAAAGTCTAGTTGTATAGTTACAGTACAACTTGAAGCAGACACCTGAATCAAAGACGTATTGCAAATGTATTTATCTGCAAGATAAATATACAGATAAAGCAGTAAAGCCAGTTGTACAAGGTTTGCACAGCATAACAGTCACTGCTTCTTTAAGAGCTACTGACAATTAAAGATTGTGGAGTCACTACGTAGCAAATTATGAATCACTACAGCCAGGGATCCAAAAAGAACTGAAAGAAAAACCACTTTCAGCATGATACAGGCCAGGAGAGGGACAATTCTCCTTTCAACAGAGGGAGCAACATTTTTTTGGTACAAACTAGAAGGAAAAGGTGTATTTATTAAAAAGGAAAAAAAAAAAACCTCATTAAAGTGACTCTTTCAGGATACTTCTCCAGGTGCTATGGCTAGTGCTCACTAGTGCTCATTCAAAAGCTTTTCAAACTGACAGTGCACCATCTTCTGCACTCATATTTTCTCTACTGACAGTACTAAGACCTGCATAATTCCCCCCCCTTTTTTTTAAACAAGACTGTGCCTATTAATAACTTTACCTTTGATGGTGTTTTTCAGCTTTTATAGTATGTTTATTCTTTAGATCTCTATTCACCAGTACCTGAAGTAGCAAAGATCTTCAGTTTTGTTTTTTCTCAAGCATGTGTAGGTTTCTTAGACAAAAATCACCTATTACCCAGACCAGACAACTATCAAGCACTTAGCATAACATTATGCTGGTGCCCCTAGTTGATCTGTAGTGGTAAATGAATTGCAATCATATTTCTACTGTACTCCTTTCTACAATCCACCAGTTCTCTTAACACATCTCTTACCCCATCACATAGCACTTCTGGACCCTTCACACAAGGGGTCACAGCTCTTGAGAGTGATCCCCCAAGCAATACCAAGCAATACAAAGGTTCTCTGCAACAGATCTCACCTGTCCTTGGCCCCACAGTAAACCCTATCTGAACGGTCACTGTTCTGCTTACTAAGTTAGTATTTATTTTTGGAGACCCATCAAGTGTAAATGCCCTGGCTCTAAGAGTGATTTACTGTTGTGTTGTCTGATGAAATCTTTCCCAATTCCCTAGGAAAAGGTCTGTTTGCAGGTGTTCAATGAAGTCATCTGACACTTAGGATCATAACTCTTTGATGATTTCACATGCTTTGGACATTTCTTTTGCACCTGACCTTTCCTAAGATCCTTTCTATTGGGAAGACTGAGGACTGTGATACCAAATCACAGAGAAACAGAGCAGCCTTCCCCCAGCTTTGCAGGTCTGGGGCCACTTTTCCTGCAGTTCCCTTATGCAATGCTACAGGAGCTATGACAAAACTAGGGACAGGAACCAAGAATATTCCCTTTCTGGCATTTAAGGAGACATTTATATGAAGAAGAGCGAAGGATCTCAGGCAGACACTAGCTGGGAAGGGGCAGTGTGTTCTGTAATTGTTAAGGAACATCATATCTGAAGTCTGGAATTGAAGCCTTTACTCCTAAATCAAACTTCATTTACAGTTTAACAGACGGCTGTATAATGTACAGACAGTAACATCAGTCAGCACTGCCTTCCAGATGATGAACAGAAAGTAAGCTACAGTGGAAGGTGAATGGGATTGTAATCTACAGGTATGAATCCTCTTTTAAAACTATTTTTGTGAGGGGATAGAGAGAGGCAGAGGGGTGTTAGAAGTCCATCAGGTTCAAGTTTTTCATTTTTCAGAAAGTTAAATTACATCCAAATGAAGTTACTGAAAAAAGTGTCAAGGTTGCAAAGACAAGCACTCAAATCAGGAGAAGTCAGATTAAGTTTGCCCATGCATCCTTATTTCAGCTTCCTTGGGTGCTTATAGCAAAACAATCTTCAGTTACACAGCTGGGTTTTGTTCATTTGTTTTGGGTTGTTTTTTTGTTTAGGGCTTTTGCTCCCCCTCCCCTCCCAACAAGACCCCTGCCTCAATCAGTGCACAGGATGGACGACAAACTGAAGATGAAGGGTTGCACGATGAGCAAGCTGTTTATGCCTTGTTTGCTGTGACATTTGGAAGGTGTGGAGTAAGGCAGCAACAGCTTGGCAAAGGAAGGGGGAAGCACTGTCTTGTGTTTAATGCCACGGAACATCACCCTGGAGAACTGGAACCTATTTCTGCCACATCTAACAGCACAGAGAACTTGGTTGAACAAGTTTTTACAGATGATCATGATACATTTTACACCTTTCTGGACACCTAGAAGGTGCCTGACTCACAGAAATAATTAAACATTCACAGAACATCTAAAACTACTATTAATACAGCTCTAAAATGAAGTGCTTTGAAATAACACCTACTCAAAAAAGTGAGATCAGGCCCTAGGCTTCTCAAATAGAACCCTCAAAATTAGTTAATAGCTTTGAATACAGAAAAACTTCAAGCTATAATACCTTCAAGAGATGAGAAAGCTGCAGCATTACCCCCATTTTATAAATAGGGATGTGAGGAACAATTAAGGTCTATAAATGACTAAAATTCAATGACAACACCATACAAAAATCTCACAAGGAAGTTCATTCATTATTCAGTGCAGGGTTTGTATGGTGTGCAATAAGTAAGGAATGGGGCCACACACTGAATGATGAGGATAAAAAGAAATATTGAATAGCTACCCATTCGGTGAGCACCGTCCATCTTGTGCACTGAATGAGGTAGTCCTGTGGAAAAAATAGTATGACGGTGTAATTAAAGACTATTTCACAATGCATACCCATGTATAGCACAGGGGTAAACTTCATTCTGGCATTTCCTAATTTTTGAGTGCTTGACTTAGCAACCTTGTTCTGTTAATACACTTTTTACATAACTGTACTTAATAGACATTTTTAAATGGTGTCAGTAACTGGCATTAACAGAAAGCCATTATCTCACATTTCTTAATACATGTCAACTGCAAGGAGCATGTCTTATCAGAGGAATTAACATATGTTATAACACCTGAAAAATATTACGTACCATTTCTCTTAGAAGTTTACTAGTGATATAATGGGGATATTAGTGATATAAAAGTGGGAAAATATTTGTTTTCATCTAAAATTAGTGCACAGATGTGAAAAGTTTGTCTTTTACAATCAATAAGAACAACTCAGTATTCTCAACTATTGAATTCTTATACATCCTTATGAGAGCAATTAAAAATCTTGTCTCAGCACCTTTGAAAGGCTAGGACACATTTTAGGTGCTAAATTTTAAGATACCCTTGTAGGAAGAATGCAGCCTTTATTTCTTGAAAATGCACAAAAAGTTTATTTTCAAATTATTTTCATGACATAGTTGAGCTCACCCTCTTCCTCTTTAGTTTCTTTGTTGCTGGTTGGAAAGCACACAGACACACAAGCATGCAGAATATTACGGTTTCCATCACATCTATGGCCAAGGAATGTCTGCAGCACTTGTGGATTCTGATCCAAGACGACTGCTTGCTCAAGATTCATCAGGTATTGTCTGCAAGCCTCGTAGTCACATCGGAGAATGTGCTGCATTAACGTTTGTTTCTGTACTCAAAAGAATAAAATATTTTAATACTTTAAAATACAAAATGCAGATATACAAGTTTCCTAAGTACTTCTAGTTTTCCATTTCTGAAATTAATAGAAAGGTCTAAACCTAGGACGTTCGCTGGAAGTGCAGGAACTGTTGAGAATATGCAGAATCTCAATTATAGCACTGTTAAAAACAGAAAGCAGCATGCATTCAGGCACAGACAAGTTAAAGGAAAGGACAGGCTTAAGCCCCAGAAGCTACCAGGCTCACAAAAGTATGCCTTTGGCTTCACAGCTGGGTTCTTAAAATAGATTATTTCTACTTCACAGCTACATGTAGCACGGGAAAAGTGGTACAACAGAAAAAACTAAGGGGTCTACATTAAGTAGCTCTTACATATTTGTTCTAAACAAGTGATATACATGCTGAGAAATGGACAAACAGAAGCTGTTGAAGGTCTGGGAGGCTCACCCCATATAAAACAAGCTTTTCCACAGTGGTTGAATACTCCACTGTGAAAGCAAACTCAGTCTAACAGGTACACAATACCTCCTGGTGGCAGCACAGCACACAGCAGAGCAAACTAAACCTCACCAAATCACTGACAGGTCTCTACATGCATGGTAAAAAATTCACAGCAGAACTATTCATATAGCATCACAGAAGAGTACAAAACTCTACAGGCAATTCAAGTAAAAAAAATCATCACTTGACCCCTGTAATTTCCTAATGTGTGGTCCAAACAGAGGGTTTAAAAAGAAAGTTAAAAAAAAAAATAAAAAAAGGTAAAAAAAAAAGTTCTGAATTCACAAGTTCTTGGATCTCTCAGAAAAACTGTGCATCCACAAACAAATACAATTGTATATAGGTAGTATACAAAAAAAGGCAACAGTTTTAAAAGTAACAAAAAAAAAATACTATTAGTTAAAAGCCTGATACAGGAGCCATGTACTCCCAAAAAATGCATCTTTCACATAAATTTGTTCATGTGTTCAAGTTTCGAAGAGACTCTTCTGCTGAAATTAGTTTCTTTTAAATAGTGGAAATAAAAGCTGCCTATCTAAACATGGAGTTGCTTTAAGCATACCTTTATAAAAGAGAAAAAAAGCACATAATTCTGTAGTAAAGAAAATATTTTACCTCAACAGCCATAATAATAATAGCAGCTTTCTTTTTGATGGTTGAGTTAGCAGGAAGATTTGTTAAGGAATGAACACCCATTCCAAGACTACTAATAGGTGGAAGATCAAGCCAGTCAGGGTCTCGTATCCCACCCATACAATCTTTTGCCATTGGGTAGATTGTACCATTTCCATCTCTAAGAATAATAGGAGATTCCTACATTTGGGGAAAAAAGTTTTAACATTAAATGTCCACAATTTATAAATATTATCCTTCCCAGAAAGTCCAGTTCTGCTTGACTGCCAACAATGAAAACAGTTTTCCTAAAATTTTAATTTATGCCATTGTCTCCTATCGTTACAAGTGGCGCAGCAGAAGATATCAGATTCCCTTTCTCAAATGCCTGAAACACGCTTAACATAGCCAACACTATTAAAAGCATCTTCTTTATGACATTCATTATGAAACATTTAACAATGAAACATACAGTACCTATATTTTTAGCTTACTTAAATGCTCCAAAGAAAGTTGAATATATTGAAATAAACCATACAAATTTAGTTATTTTACCAAAAATGGTTCCTTCAACTATCATAAGCAAAGTATATCGTGTTTGGGGAAGTTACTAAAACAGCTTTGGTATTTTTTCTCAGCCCTCCTCATGAATGCCCGCACAGTTGTTATCAAGCTGTATCATCAGATAAAACAGGATACTTAACACTGGACAGTAGGAAGAGTTGCACAAAAGCCCAGTATATAATTTTTAGTATCAAGTACAGGTTTTTTTTGTTAACATTTCAATTTTTTCTCAAGAGTGGATTTTGGTCTGACCGAATTCCAAAATATAGCTAGATAACAAGTTTACACTAACACAGGAACTAGTCAAGTTTTTTTTCCTCTTTTTACCTTTTATTCAAGGTAGAATGTGAATAAGATTATTAAAAGTGCTTAAGTGAGTTAGATTGCTATTCCCCTTGTGCCTTCAAAATATTAATTGTAGCAACAAGTCTTTCATAACCCATCTGAAGAACTACTCTTTGCCAGTCTTTGGAAAAGCCTTGCAAAAGGCTGTACCATCCCATTCAAAGATGACAGAAGTGCAGTGCAGTGAGGTTAAATGATTGAGATACAAAACCACAAACCTGTCCAGCTGTAAAAATAGCAACACTTCTCTCATTCTGACCCAGGAATGCAATGCTGCTAGTAGGGAAATTATTTTCCTGTTCAGCCTTTCCTGTGGCAAGGTCAAATATGCAGTACCGAACCCAGTTCCCAGTTTTCAGAACAGCATGCACTCCTTTCAAAGATACACGAAGAAAAAAGTTAATATCTGTTACTGATGACATCCACTAAAAGAACTCCTAACTAATACACTTTTAAGGACTTACTAATATCAATGGAAACAACTGGTTATGTTAGTTTGACAGTAGTTGTTTTCCACTAGGAAGAAAGGTAATAAAGGAACCAACAGAGTATCTTACAGGATAAGTCCTGCTTACCTTTTGAATCTACATTTACTGCTAAGATCTCCGTTTTTTCAGGAATACACAGCTTTTTAGGTGTCCTCTGAAAACAGTCAGGAACTTTTGGAGTTCCACCAGTTTTTACAACCTGAAAACATACATAAAATTTTAAAGATGGAATTAAGCACACAGTGCTGACATTTCAAAATACTGTTGATTTTCTCAACCTTTCACAAAGGCATACCTGCAGTTCATCTATTCTGAGCAGCCTGCAGTCTTGGAGAAGAGAAGAAGGATCAGGATCTGAATTAGAACTGCTCTGACAGTTTGCATTACTGGAGGTGCCTGGAAATTTCACAGCAACATAAGCACCATCCACTTTTAGCACCTACAAGCAAAACACATCAGAGTTTTACCACAAGCTTTGAACAGAGACTGTTTAGGTGGATTTGTTTCAAAATAAACCAGACCTTTATGAGGAAAAGAAAAAAGTTTGCAATGTGATAAAATTACAGTGATCAAATTCTACAGCTCTTGGTCATTACCCTTGCTCTTTTGCTAACTTTACCAAACTCTTAAAAACTTTGATTTCTTAATGACTTCATAGGCATCCTGAATCAGATCAGCATCCTACATCCAACAGGAACCAACAATTGACTAGAGAAGCTCCTACTGAAATTTCCCTGGTATCTTTCCAGCTTCCACCTGCCAGAAACAGCAGGACAACTTCAAGTTTAATCATCTGGATAGACCCTTCTCTTGTTAATTCACCCAATCACTTCCGGAAACAAACATTATTCTTGTGAAATGAGCTCCAAACATTAGCTAACAATTCAACAAAAAACGTCTACACTGAGCCTCTTACTTCTTTTAAGTGCCCATTAGCTCTTGTACTACAAGAAGCAGGAAATCACTGCTTTTTTTTTTTTTTTGGCCCCATCTAAGAATTTTTAAAGCCTCTGTTGCAGAGTCTTAGCACTCATTCCTCAAGATGACAGTAAGTGTTGGTTTATGGGTTTATTACCTATTCCTTAGACTCAAAGAAAAAGTTCTCCATGCAGTCCCTTAGGACTGAAGGATACAGACAAGTCTATCCAGACACGCTTCATGCATCTGTGTGCTTCTCTGCCCCCAAGGAAATGGGAAGTTGTTCAACCTCATGGTGGCACAGTCATTTCTGAGACTGTAAGCCTCTCTGAAGAATTGCTGCCACGCATACCTAATCAGAACTGCCAACACAGGTTTCCTGGATATAGAAACATCTTACGCTATCGCCACACAACAGGCCCTTTAAGTTTCCAGCTGAGACAATAATTTTCTCAAAAGGAAAACAAAGGTAAGAGGGAGGGGGGCAGGAGGAAGGACAGACAATGGTTTTAATTTTGCATAGAAATAAGATCTTGGTATGCTCTCAGTCTTGATGAAAGCTAGATACAAGCAACCATCAATCTTGATTAGACCCTAATTTCTCAATAGTTTCTACGCAGGAAGTGCTTATGAAGAAATGTTAAAGATCTAGACGTAGTCAACTTTATCTAAAACGTCCCTGACCAAAAAAAAAAAAAAAAAAAAAAATCATTCCTCTTTAATTGAAATTATCTAAGTCTGAATTAATTGAAAAACGCATTAACAAAAATAAAATGCAAGAGCTTAAAGGATTTAGACACTTCAGCTCACAAAACTAATGTACTTAAACTGTTCATATTGCTATTGCAAAAGTTTCATCAATTAGAACAAGCATCTTACAGAACTACATATATAATGTCTGCCTTATTAAATTACAAGAACTGAAACAAACAAATGAAAAAAGCAAGCAACAAAATGAAAGATTAAAGATTGTTTTTTCCAAAAGCAAAATACCTTCTTAGAGCATTATGAACTACAGAATAATAAGATCAGATCTTTCTTTTTAATGGAAGAAAAAAATGAATTGATAAACTGAAACAAGTGAAAGATCAGCACAGTTATTATCTCCTTTACCCTTACTATCAACACATGCAACTCTTCACAGTCTCACTGGACATGTGGGTGCTACTGTTAAAGTCACCAAAAATAATGTTTTAGATAAAATCACTTCTGCTTTTCTTAATACTCTGTTTCAAAACTCAAAGTACCAGAATGTTATTTTTTAAGATTCAGCATGCTTTATTCACAACACATTCAGTCTATTACTGTCATTGTGTTATGGACAAATAAAAATGTAACAAAAGTCATGCTAGTCAGAAACATTCTCAAGCACCCCCAAAACTACAATTACTTTAACAGTCAGCTTAAAAAACCTTTTCTTCTCCCTCTCCAAAGACGGTGGGAAGTGTATTTTAGACAAACCTTGCCAACAGGAACATTCTTAACGTCTTCCACAAACACAACTTCCCTCAGGGACCACTGCTCTTCATTCACTTTCTCCTCCTCTTTAGGGGCAGGAGTAGATCGTCGTCGCTCTGAGACAAAAAAAGGAATTACCAATGACAAGAGTTGAAATATTTCAACAAAGCATCAAAATGCAACATTCAGCAAACACCAAACCCTTCTCTCCAAAAAAAAGAGTACCAATGCTTAAATCTAGACCTCTTTAGGGGCAGGAGTAGATCGTCGTCGCTCTGAGACAAAAAAAGGAATTACCAATGACAAGAGTTGAAATATTTCAACAAAGCATCAAAATGCAACATTCAGCAAACACCAAACCCTTCTCTCCAAAAAAAAAAGAGTACCAATGCTCAAATCTAGAAATTAACAAGAGGTTAACAAGAATTTGACTTTAAAACCAGCTGAAGTCAGAGGTACCTAACGGTTTACCACACCACTTTCATGTTTTTCTATCCAATTAGCACCAACAAAGCCTATCAGATAACAAAGCTATTTGTAAGGACATTTAAGCAAATAATTAGAATACAAGAAATTGTTTCGGCAGGGCTCAGATACTCGTGCTGTATGTAACAAGCCCTGCTACAGTGCTTTGTATCACCCTTGCAAAAAGCCTGCTTGTCCACTACGTGTGGTTTTTGGTAAACATCTGGAATAGTAGCAAATGGGGCAGAGAACAGCTATTTGGGCTAACAGCAATTGCAGTACAGTTAGATTTGCTGCAAAGACATTGTGCGAACAGTAATTGTAGTACACTCAAGATCAAATTGAAATACTTAACATGACTAAATTAACGCTGATAAGAACCTTTATCTCCTGAATTGAGTTTATATAGTAAAATTTAATATTATCAACATATTTCAAGTAAGAAGCAGAGAACTGCTAAGGTAACATAAAGTTAATTTCCAACAGTAGTTCAAAATCCAAAGCAAAGCTACAGTCAGTGAAAAATTACAGTTGGAAACTGCAAAACAGAAGAAATCAGTAGGAAAAGACTCTACTACAATAAAGTAGTACTGAAGATCTGAGCACATGAGATTTTAAGTCACTGAATGAGGCCATCTGATTCTCTAGGTGAATGCTTCTTAAAACTGCAGCAGTGAACAATTAGAAGAAATTTCTTCTAACGATGTCATTGTAATTAGCCCTTTATAAGTGCATGGGTTTAAATTGAGAAAAAAGCTTAAGAGGTCAGTTACATCAATTGTAACACAGACTAAATCTAGGTTTTAAGTACAACTTATGCTGTAAAACTTCTCTCACTACTTGTGTATGTTAGTAAAGAATGTCTGGGTGTAGACATTTTATGTAATAGATGACCAGCTACTGCTTTATGACTGAAGTTCACCTGCAAGGCAAGCTGTGCAAGAACAACTTAAAAGGAATTTTCCAAAAAAAGTTCAACTTCTGGGCTGTAAAGAAACTCACTATCACATTGCAATTAAACATAAACAACAACTTTATCATCAGACTGGATCACCTCCTGAAAAATCCTTTTGATTCTGAGAACCGAGTGTTATTCTTTCTTTGATACACCTTACATCAAAGTACTCACTGCTTATACTGATACATTCAAATTTAACACTGACAACTGACCGATCATCTAAAGTCTGTTACAGGGGTCTTTACATATATTGTGGTTCAGACTGAAAGACTAAAAAGGATTTTTAATCAGATTCTGAAATTAGTATAGAATCTTCATAGAACTGCCTTTTATAAAATATTTGTGTAGATAAGAAGTTTTTGTGTAACTGTGAGCTACACATTACTTACTATACGGCATTGACGCACTGCTTGCTATTGAAGATGCATCACTGCAAGTGGAAGCTGGGGATGGCGGAGGACCCATCTCAGTTTTCACTGGTTCCTGTTTGCTTTCAGGTCTAGAATAAAAAGTGTTACTTAGAATGAAAGAAAAAGGTAAAATCTTTTCTGTGTCAATGGACAAAGTGCTAGTGTGTCCCATACATGTTGGTTTGGGGTTTTTTTTCTTTTTTTTAACAAAAACAAAACTAGTATGAAATGAAATAACTCCTTACTTGAGAACAACCATCCGAACTGACAAGGCCATGCATTCAACGTCGGGAACGGTGCTACGCTTCTTAATCAGGGATTAGCTATATAACATTAACTGAGCGTAGACACAACATTACAGAAAATAACATCCTTAGATGTGCTTCATTTGAAGACAGGAAGAATTATTAGCTTTATACAGTAACCTGAAACTCTACAACTGCTTAACTTTTTCAAGCTTTTCTTGAAACAGTTTAAAACTGTTTTAAGAAACATTTAACTGGCAATTGTCAACCCAATGATTTTTTTTCAAACTATGGAGGGGCTGAAACAGGTCTCTCAATGCCATGAAGAAAGGGCTGAAAACAGTTAATTCCATAACTTTAAGTTACCAAATATAAAAACTTGGAAACTTTACACAACACTGCAGGAAGGTCTTCATTTAATAATCCTGCTACATTTCACATTTCCATAGTGGTTTCACACAGCAGAGATGCCTTTCCTGCAGTGAGTATTTCTGCACATTTAGCAGAGTTTACAAGAAAGCTAGAATCTTATAAAGAAGGAAAAACGTTCAAACTGATAAAAACCTGACCTTCCTTCAATTTTTAATCAATCACCAATTCAAGAGGATATCCAATGTTCTGTGTGTATGCATGTGTGCTCTCAACACTCACTTTGCCTCAGTAGTTTTGCTAGCTTTCTCCATGTTTTTCAGGCTCTCAGGTGACCGAAGTTGAAACCGACAGCTGTCATTCATGTTCCAGACAGATTCCATTAACACACCTACTTTAGGAATTCCAGCACTGATTGAAAAAGCAACTGCTCCAGCATGATAGAGGGGGTTATTTCTTAAACACACCTACAGAGAGAAGTATTTATTTCTAGGAGAACAATGGATTACACTGAGGGAAATCATATATGCATGCATTTTCTTGGTGACATATGTAATAGTTAAAAAAATAAGAAAACTTATGGAACTACATGAAGAGGAAAGTCAGCATAATGTACTATGCACTTTGCTGGGAAAAAAAAGAGACTGTTGTGTAATACACATCTGAAAGCAACAGCTCTAGCAGCGCAACTGTTTAATATACAGTATTTAGACGCTCAACCACAAAAGGAACAATTCATCCAGTAACAAAGGCTCATCCCAGAGCTAATTACAATGGATTGGGAACCAAAAGAAATGTGCTTCTTGGGAAGGAGCTGTTTAGTCTCATACTAGTTCTAATACTAGTCACAAGAAGAATCCTACACTTCCGTATCAGCTATTAGCCTTTTTGGTAAAGGCTTCAAATCAAAGGCCTATCCCACTGCACAAATAAATCAAACCCAGGCTCCAATATTGCAGGCACTTAAACGCCAAATCATTTACGAAACTAAGTGCTCTATTGAGAACTGTATTTCTATACTTACTTTCTCTCAAAATACAGAATCAGTAGGTAAGTTAAAACAGAAGTACTTTGTATGAGTACAGATCGTTCCTCCATGTTTGCAGCAATAATCACACTCGTATGCTTACAATGTAACCACACATGTATGATAACAATAATCAAACTCATACTGGAGTACTTTGTCCAGCTCTGGAGCCCTCAGCACAGGAAAGACATGGACCTGTTGGAGCGGTTCTAGAGAAGGGTCACAAAAATCATCATGTAGAAAGGCTGGAGAGTTGGGGTTCTCGAGCTGGGAGAAGAGAAGGCTCCAGGAAGACCTTATTGCAGCCTTTCAGTACTTACAGGGGGCTTATAAGAAAGATGGAGACAAACTTCTTAGCAGGGCCTGTTGTAACAGGACAAGGGGTAATGGTTTTAAACTAAAAGAGGGTAGATTCAGACTAGATACAAGGAAGAAAATTTTTTACAGTGAGAGTGGTGAAACACTGGCACACGCCGCCCCACTCCTGGAAACATTCAAGGTCAGGTTGGAAGGGGCTCTGAGCAACCTGATCTAGCTGAAGATGTCCCTGCTCAGTGCAGGGGGGTTGGACTAGATGACCTTTAAAGGTCCCTTCCAACCCAAACCATTTGACGATTCTATAATTCTAAAACAATAACAACACTAACAGGACACATCAATTTGCAGTCATATAATTCAAGCATGCTATTTTAATACCATATTATTGATACAACTTTTGTGCATAACAAGAAGAGAACCTAATTTGTTTAGTTTTGTTTTAAGAACAGGCTGTAAGCTCATCATATAGCACTGTAAAAATGCCACTTGTGACAGTTGCACTTGCCTGGGTTCCAACGGTTATGTTTGGCATAGAGGAGATACCAGCACTAGACTTCGGCTTCTTATTTTTTGCTCTGGCCTTTTCTAACATTTTCTTCCTTTGGCTGAAAGGAACTACACCCCTGTGGAAAAATGGATATTATTTTTTTAAAAAGAGAAATGCTTTGTTTGGAACTTTGAACATTTTACTCCTTCCTCCCACCCTCCTAGGGTGAAACAGG